TTATTCTTTAATCCCTTTTATTTTATTCGTTTACCACCAATACAAAGGTTTTGAGACCTAGAATAATAGAATTTCATAGAGTTCACTAAATGAACGGATCCAGAGCTAATTTCCAACTACTCTACAGTACGACCCGCTAGTGAGAGTTTAACGAGTGAGGACCAAACCAACCACGCCAAACCACTGCACTCAAATATAGACCTACAATTTATATTAGGATCCGAACCACTCCGTTGATGACATTTTTGCCAGTAGCCTACAAAGAAAGTATGTGCGTCTCATTTCCATTGCATATGATTCAAAAAAGGACAAGCTAACCTTACACCATACACAGTCTCGAACCCATGATCACTGTGTCAGTATTTCAATAATTAGGTACCGAAGTACTAAACCTTTCCACAACAGAGCCACTTTAGCTCACAAGAAACATTTAAAGAAATTTAATTTTACTCATTTTATTCAAAAAATTCTGGCTACGCTACTAGGCTTTGTCTATGAACTTGTTGTCACTTGAATTGGAAATTAGATCATGGATCATCAAGAGGTGTCTTCGTTCGAGTGTTCTAGGATCATTTAGAGAAATTGCGCTTTTGTCACTCACTCAGAATTGACCACATCTTAACTTTGTTCATTCTTCTTATGCTGATTGCGGCCTCGACTACAAGTCAAGAATATTTAATTTTTTTTCACTTTAGTGTCGTGAAATTCTTGTGAGAATTTTTTCTTTTTATTTTTTTCAATCTTTTCTTTCCATTTATGAAATAAAAAAACAAAAGTTTCAATGAGACATAAAAATGGGGGAGAATAAAATTAAAATCTGACATGAAGATTCTTTTTTTATGCTTTGTTAATTATTTTAATTTGTGTTACTTTATAAAACAGAACCGACAAAATTAAAATGAAAATTTTCCTTCACCAACAAACGACCTGAGCGCATTATCACATTATTGCAAAGAAGATTTTTGAAGGTAGTCAAGTCATGGATCTTACAAGAAAAGTTTTTCTGTTGACACTTCACATTTATTGTCAAGCTTCTTACTTTTGCTTTTCCATCACAAAAGCATGAAATTGCTCTGAATTTTTATTTCTACAGAAAAACCTGTTCGGAATGATAATGAGAGTAAAGTAAGATTGACTATTGATGATGTTAATCAATCGGCAGCACCGACACGGCTGCTCTATTCTTCATAAAAACATTTGTGGACGGAGAAAATAGTTTGTTAACTATGTGATTTAATTTGCTAATCAGAGATTTTATTGTGTGAGATAATTGAGACATTTTCACATATTTTTGGGGATTTTTGAATTGATTTCTTTGTGATAGTTTTGGACCCCTTTTGAAATTGAAATCTTTCTTATTTTAATACCCTTTTGTGTAAAATAAACGGTAAGCAATTTTGTCCAACAATTAATCATAATTAAAAACGTTTCTATTTAGAGCATCTACACCTCTTTTGTGTTCACTAATTCACAACAATTCAATAGATGAACTTAGCATATTATCAGATTTTTCTTGCCAAGCCGGACAATTTTATCATCACGTGAACATCTTGACATGAATCCCGCTTAAAAACTGGGAAGATAGACAAAGGAAGATTTTGAAAATAGAATAATAAAAGTTCTATAAGCAGGTAGAATAAAAGCTACGAACAAGACTTTATCAAATTCTTGCAAAATAGTCTTTTGTTCTGACTTGATAGAAAATTTAAATAGCAATAATAATAATGAGAACAACAGAAATAATAAAAATCACTTAATCCGTTCAGGAAGTTCTCGTTGCTGATTAAATGAACGAAAAGTCAAATAAGAAGAAAGAAGCGAAATGAAACAGCTGATCAAATAACATGCTTGATGGAATGTTAATCGTTTCTGACAGATTTTTGATAATGATAATATAACTGTTATTTAGCAGCGCTCAACTATTACAACATAGTAGGAGCTTGTTTAGCATGTTGATGAAACAAAAAATATACAGAACTGGAAATGAAATTTATTTTTTTTTAAAAAAAATCCAAAGAGTTGTTGAATTTAATTGCGACATCAGATATACATGTAAAAGTTCTCGTTACATCAAACCTCGATGAAGATGACATGCAGCTGAATTACAATTCGTACTGGAGTTTTAGAGGAAGTTGATTAAAAGCGCTTTTCAATGATTTTGGAATTGAGTTGAGATTCAGGCAAATAACTGATGACAGATGGTGAACGCTTAATCGAGGGATACAATTATGTTTTGGCAAAGTTGCCCTAAGAAGGAGCAAGGAACTGTTCAACTGACGGTCTGATAAATTTTTGAAATATTTTATTAGTGTCATTCTATTGGATTTAAGTTTATAATAGTTATTTCCACAATAAGCAACTCGAAGCATAAGCTAATTAGGTTTGGTAGCTAAAGAAACCAGGCTTTTACCAATTCAGCTTTTAACCTGATTATTTGGGTCTTATTAGCAGTTTAATCAATACTAATCTTACTACTCGATCATAGCATTTTTGTAAGCAGCACAACATAGTCGCTAGACCATTGCTACATAAACGTAATGATGGCAAGTATCTCCAACTCGGGATCTATCATCAACCGACAGATAAACATTAATAACTCTTCTCGTTAGAAAAATGCTCAGAAAAATAAAATATTTTTCGAATCAGAACGAGGAACAATTTTGTCTAAAAATGTAGTCTTGGCTGAGGACATTTAAAAAAAGGCGACATATTCGTTGACGATAATGGAGCAATGCTAAATGGAAATTGCAATCACATTCCCTTCCTTTTTTTGCATAGAAACTATATATGAAATAAAATTTTTTTCATTTTATATTTCTGACATTTTTTTCATCATCATAAATGCAGATTTCGTTCAGTCTTTCTACAATGACTCATTAAAACTTAATGACAATGCACGTATATTATGTTCTGATGTTTTTTTTTTGCTCAAAATAGAGACAGATATAGATGAATAGATGAGACAGAGAGAAATGGCGAACGAAAAGTTTTTCTTATTGCCGTATGATGCAATTAAATGTTTTATTCACTTTCCCATTCAACCATATTCCTTGATATATTTCATTACATTATGTATATGATTCTGTCATTGCTGAAATGATCATTTTCATTTTTTTACAGAACAAGAAGACAATTGTAGTAAAAAATTGCTGTTTACTTAAAACGTGTCTTATGTTGCACCTGGTTTATTCATTAAGTAAAATTTTTATAATAAACACGTAGAATCTTAGCTCATTTAAAGCATCAACATATTTCTTTTCGTGTATTTGTTACGTTTTTGGTCTTCGCCACTACAACTACTTTAATAAAACTGTTCTTTCTTTAATGTTGAAAAAGAAATTGAGAAAGAGAAGGAGAAAAAGATAGAAGAAATTCAAAAAAGAAGTAAGCAAGAAGTTTATATGGAGATTATTCAAAGTGATGTGACGCGAGATTTCATTAGAGTTGGTTTCGTGGAATTTTTGGATTGAATCGTTGGAATTTAAATACGATTTATTATAAACTTTAGAGCATGTTCTGTAGCGTAAGACTGAGATTGTCATTGAAATTTATCATAATGCTGTAGTTTCCTGATCATCATTAGGTTTGTATGTTTAAAGGTAAAGGTAAAGTTTAATGCTAGCAAACAGAAATTTTTGAGTTCTTATTATTCGAACTTCGAATTTTTGAGGTTCTTATTTTTCGAAAATCGAATCTTCGAAGTTCTTATTTTTAAAAAAATCCGTTGTGAATTATTATTTTTCGAGAAATTTGTAATTTTAGTGAACATTCCTACTAGTTTTTATGGTCAAGATAATCACTGTGATGAAATTGCATTCCTTAAATGTTTATGCTTTAAAAAACAGCTAGTTTAAAAAAAATAAAAAGTATCGGACTTTCTTAATTTGAAATTTTAAAAAAATACCGCGCGAAAATTTTGAAATCTTTTTGTTTGTAACGGACTCTGTTCTCTTTGCTAACATTGGGGTAAAGTATAGAGAGGGCCTAGCCTTTTGAGCTGAAGACACTGCGATTCAAATTAGAACAGAATCTATTGTACCATACTCTTTTAACCTATAGTTTATAGTGGAATTCGAACCTTTTGCAAGCTCTGCACATTGCAAAGACACGAGTACGTCTATAGACCTGATGAACCCTGCAATGTACCTAGTCACAATTCATGTGCGCAAGATGATGTAATAAAATCATCCAGATGCTAGTATATCCTACTATACCTAGCAAATGAGACACGTTACGAGCCAAAGACCTTAAAACTACACCCAACATGAACCCAGCTTCGTAACTAGAACGGTGAAATGAAAAAAGAGCTATTAAAACTTATCTCGCCTGGGATAGAACCCACAACCTTTAGCACGTAAGGCCAACGCTCTATCACTTAGACCACTGATGCCATTTCACTGCTACTGATTTAGTTGCTTCACTAAGTATACTCTGGGTCATCCACGAAACACCACGATGAACCTAGTTATAATCCAATTAAGATAGTAAAAAACTTCTCAGAAGATTTTAATTAAAAATTGAGCAAACAGTTTTGAAATTCATAATTTCAATTAAATAAAAAATTGAATTCTCAGAACTAAAGCAACAGATGAGTTGTTTCCAAAAAGAACCCATAAAAAAAGTCTGTTCCCAATAATCCCAAAACTTTTAAAACAATTCCCAGTTTTACAAAGCGTTTCGCATTACAAACTCAACAAGTTTGTTCAAAAATCCAGCAGACATACTAATTACTTATTAATATCACAGCACTTTTCCTTCAAAATGAGCAATAATGCTTACAATGAGCATTTCTTGGATCATTCAATTAGTATCATGGGATTAAATATCACAAGCACCTTAGCAGTAAGATATCCGCTTACCAACTCAGAATAATAAACACTCAATGAAGCATGTAACGTCATTCAAGAACGAAACCACAGAAGAAAAAAAGTCTTCTTACATGCTGAAGAGTTATTTGCTTTTTTTTTTCTTCTCTTACTTTTATTTTATTCTCATTTTGTGCTTCCTGTAGTTAAGAGGTGAAATCGCGATGTTATAAACTCAAGCTCAAAACTTTTTTTTCGTGTGATATTTTTTTGATAAAAAGTCAAGTGAAAAAGAAAAGTTCTTCAAATAAGGTAGAGGGAAGAATTTAATTTAAATTTAAAGGAAAAGGAAAGATGAAGAAGTGAAATGAAATAAAATAGAGGAATTCCAATTTATGGACGAGAGAAAAAAAAATTAAAAATAAAGTTTTTTAAATGCAAACAAATCTGATAGAAGTGAAGTGAAGTTGTTTTATATGTGATACGAGTGCTACGAAGCGATAACTTTTTCCTTCATCATCATCACAACATAATAGCTACATTTATTGTGCTATATTTAGTTGGACTTTTTTTTCTATAGCCTGAGAAAACATGAAAATGCCATTTGGATAAAACGGACAAAAGTTTTTCATTTTTTTTTGCTACTCGAATTATAACTGGTGATTATCGACATCATAGCAGAACTTTCTGTCTTCCTTTTTCCCTTCTAAACTTTTTTTTATGTGATTTTCTGAACTTGTAAACTATCGGAAAAATACTTGACCGACTCATATCGGAAAGGCATTCATCATAAAAATTAATGGCTATACAATTATTTTCTTTCCGTTAATTAAATACTTTTTTCCTTGTTGTTGTTAAGATAATGACAAATTAGCAAAAGATGGTGAATGCTACTCAGAGTTGGCTAAAGACTGATCTAGTCTAGCTAGCTTCTGTTTTGAACTAAGTTTGTCTAAGTTGTTCTTTTGGGGTTTTGCTGATTTTTTTCTAATTTGAGAATTAAATTCTTCTCTTAATTCCATGACAGTGCTTCTCAAACTATGTTCCGCGGTACCTTCATCTACAGAGGTGTCGGTTAAAGGAAAGCTACACATCAGTTTTATAAAATGTAAATTGGTTTATTTTGCTGAGTTAAAAAAAGGTTGAGCAGCTCTGGTCTAATTTATATCCTAGCAAAAGAAAGAAGCATGACTATGGCACACTAGGACTATACAAGAAAGTATGACTAAGTTCATAAAAGAGAACATGATTAGGATATACGACATATATAGGAAACCATAGCTAGCAAATACTCAAGAAACCGGTTTCAACATGCCAACTCTGACGATGCTTAATGAGCTATCACATATGCGTCATCCATAATCTCTTGAAAAAAATTTCATTTCATCAAAGTAGGACACAGCAAAAAATAAAACTTGCAGAAATAAAAAAGCTTTAAACTCTCTCACATTTACACAAATCTATATCAAGTTCACTGTCAATTAAAGGTCAGGCATGATTGTATTAGTAGCTGCATGTGAAGCAGCAAGAAAAAGAACTCTTTACACATAAGTCTCATACTGTGCTGCGGTAAACATAACTTTCAAAATAGATACACAAGAATGGTAGAGAATGCTGAGGAAAATAATAAACCTTAATTATTCCCTTTTTTTCTTTGAAATTCTTTTCATGCTTTAGTACCTTCAACAATCAATGCGCGTATATCTTTCTATCTCCTTCTTGCTTTATGATTATGGCACTTTAGAAGAACACAAAAAATATAAAATAATATCTTTCATTCACTGTTATGGCAATATATAATCATCGTCGTCATCATCAACATCGCTCGTTGTCGAGCTTGCCATTGTCATCATCTTTCATTTTCATTTATATTTTTTTTGCTTTCTTGTTTTCTTGTTATTTCTCCTTTTCTAGAATCTCTTTTTTTATTATTCACCATTTGAAAGAGTTAAAAGTCTTTATATGTGTAGCATAAATATATGTATACATAGATTCATATATGCGCATAGTTGAAGAAAAACAAGATTTTCAAGTTTCTCAAATTGCATTTTTAATTCTACTAATGCACTTCGGATGGATATGAAATCAACAAGTTTCTCTCCTCTTCATTAAGTGTCTTCATCAGAACTTAGTTTTGCATCTTCAAAAATAAAGCTGTTGTACTGGATGTTGAGGTTATTAACGCAGTTTTTATTACGACAGTTTGCTTACTTTCTGTTAATTATGTTGTTGGGATTTAATGAGTGAAATGTTTGCGGAATTTTTTTGATGTTATTGTTGAGATTTTATGATCGGAAAGTTAAAGAGGAAATTGTTTAATATTTTAGATACTGAAAGTACTTTTGATACAAACCTTTTCTAGACACACGAATTTGATGCGAATTTACTAATTTGCTAAACGCATTTTTCATGCAACCTTTTTCTAAACACACTTTTGATACGAATTTCTAATTTGCTGAACGCAATTTTTATTCAACCTTTTTCTAAACACTTTTTTGATGCCAAGTATTAGTAGCTGAATGCATATTTGCTGCAAAATTTTAGTTGCTGAATGCATTTTTGATGAAAACTTTTTCTGAACACAGTTTTGATGCGAATTTTTAACTGCTGAATGCACTTTTGATGGAAACTTTTTATTTTCTGAACACACTTTTAATGCAAAAATTTTCTAAACGTACTTTTTCTGAACACACTTTTGATGCGAATTTTTTTCCTGAAAGTTGTTGTTTTATACCTTTCATCAGTTTCTTTATTTACAATAAAATTAAAAATAAAACTGTTTTTATGATTCATTTGCCTCATTTCTTAACTTTTTGCTCAAAATATCATGATTAACTATTCGGCAAAAATCAATTTTAACAAGCAATTTATATCAAGAAGATTCTAAACCAGCATCATTACAATCTTCATGTTATGGACCACCAAGCTTAACTCACAGTTTTTTTTCAAACCGTAAATAATGCGCCATAGCGAATGATACAGCATAAAAATTCGTTCCACAAAATTACCCAAAAGTGATTAGACAAATGCATTAAAAATTTCTGACAAAAGTGCAATTAAAAGCTCTTCCTAACTTCTTTCTTGATGATGAAGATATTTTCCATTTATTATCACAAAACTAAAGAATTTATGCAAATAGGAATTTCAGGAGATAAAATCACAGGAAGATTTGCAGCTTTTATCATTTGTACGACTTTATGGCTTAGTGAATATTTAAATCTATGTGCATATACGAGCATCAGAAAAGAAGAGAGACTATAAATTAGTAGAATACACGCGTTATGTTGTGTATCACTTTTTTCATTCTTTTCGAATAACGATATGAAACAGTACCGGGATTAAAATTGAAAACTATTTTGCGGTTTTCAAAATATGGTGAAAAAAATGTTCATCTTTCTTTCTCATCTCTAAATTGTTCTCAATTCTTTTTTTACTCTGCCATGCCACAGCAACACGATAATAAATATAAAGAGTAACGGACGAGTTGTTACTGTATTTAGTATTCATTGAATAAAAAAGTATTTTGGTCAGAGACGTGTGATAAAACTATGAATTTAATCACATGTGAAACCCTCAATTTTTTCTGGCTTCTCATCAATCAATAAATTCAATTTTGCTCTTTTTTGGGAACGGGTAGCGATTAAATCAAATTTTTTAGGCTAGTTTCCTAAAAAGGTATGAAAATTGATGGATGATTTTGCTCGCGTCTGATTTTGGCATGAGAAAATTTAACGGTTATCATTTTTTGGGTAAATATTTGAGGTTTTGGGAGATTTATTGGGATTTTTTTCGCTTCAGGAGTGAGTTCAGTGAGAAAAATTGAAGCAGAAATTTTGTGGAATTTTATAAAGATGCAAGATTGTTGGAAGAATTTTTTTGCATCCTTTTTACTTCTCAGAAAGTGTTTAGCATCTGTTTTACTCCTCAAACAAGTTTCGCATCAAAAATGTATTCAGTAAAAAAATCCTAAAAATTGAAGCAAAAATATTTCAATACTAATTTTGAATGAAACTAAAGCTATAAATCTGATCATATAATCAAAAATGTTTGCATCAAAAGTGCATTCAATAAAATTAAGTTTGCTTCTTAAGTGTGTTCAGTGAAAAAAAATGACGCGAAAATATCTTTTCAAATAATCTTATTTAAACCTCAGGAATTTAAATAAAACCAGATCAATCCAAACATTATTTTAAAATTGAATATTTTCACTTCAAAACGACATTCACAGAATTATATTAACCTCAAAAATATGATAATCAAAAATTCTTATTGGCACACCCACAGTCGCCCAAATTCAGTCATTAAAAAAACTTCAAGAATATTAATCAACGATAAATTTGGAACAGCAATTGAGATAATATGAAGTTATCAGTGGTAACAATAGGAACGCTAATCATTACAAATGTCTGTTCTACATTAAAACAGTTGAAACACGATTTTCAAAAAATGAAAATTGATAATAAAATTTTTTAAATGTTTTAATTATTCCAGAAAAAAAAACTTTTTCGATTCTTCTTGTTACCAAATTTTACTTGATGCTTCATCAGATAGCAAGTAACAAGCAACACATTGTCTGCTTTTACGATATTTTGAAGTCGAATTGATTTCGAAAAGAATTTCCTTTGTGTTTGATTGACACTATTACGGAGGATTATTGTCATCGCAATAATATTTTTCTTTCTGATCGTAATATTTATTGCATGATAAGATGTTATTGCACTGAATAAAAATATCAATTCTCTGTCCTTTTTTTGTGACCTAGATTGAGTCATATCATTCCGAATTGCACTTAAATTTGATAGCGGCATTTCGAATGTACATTCCAGAGAACATACTACGTAGATTGCTGTTGCTGATAGAATTTATATAAGAATACTAAATTTAATCGTTTCTATAGTAATCGAGATTTAAGGAGAACATTCACTTGAACTGTTTCGTTGCATAGAGATTCTGAATGGATTCTTGAAGAGAAGTTATTCATTTTAATGGAATCTTTCCTCTTTGCTGCATTAACTCGTCAAAAATAGGAGGAGATAATCTTACTTTTTAACCCTAACATTTATCTACTTGAAATTTATGTTTTCTAAAATTCTATTTTGATTTTGATTTCTTTGTTTTTGGAAATTTTAATTGTAGCTTAATGTGGTTTCTGTGGAATAGCACGAATATCCAGAATTCTTTATTCTTTGTGTAAAAAGTTCCTTATAATCTTTGAATTTTAAATTGTTGAATCCAACTTTAAGGCATACAATAAAGCTTGAATTTGGCTTAAAAAACAATAAAGCTTTAAGTTGACTTTAAGCATTTTAAATTTTAATTTGATTGTTTACATCAATTTGAAATCAATTGGAGCTAAATTCTTGAATCAAAGAAATAAAACGTGTTCGAAAGTACATTATATGCATCAATAATTGCTTAAGGAACAAGAAACAAGAAAAACAAGCTTAAGAAACAAGAAAATAAAGCAGAATTTTCTGAGTAATCAAGAACAACTTCTCCACAGACATTCAATAACCTCCAGTACTGATCTAACCCAACTAAACATTGAATTTCACACCAGAAAGTGAAGGTATTTGATAACATTCACTCGTCAAACATTACACAAGACATAATCATTTAAATTTGAAGAAAAAAACATACAATCGACGTGACTAAACAATTAGTGAGCTTTCACTGCTTTAATCTTAGATCTGAAAGTATCAATAACACAGAAAGGCGTCATGCTTAATTACAATGTGATAAATTCTTCTACTTAGTATACATATTTCCACGATGACGGTAGTTTGGAAAATATTCTCTGAATGAGAGTACAAATGAAACCACAAGTAGATTATGATCATGATAATGGTAATGATGAAGTAATTAAACAAGCTTTTTAAATAGTACATTTATATAGAAATTAAAAGAACAATTTTCCTTCTTCCACACTTAATGGGTTTCTTTTTTCGAGCAATATTTTTGTTTCGTCTGTAATGACTGAAATTGAACAAATGTTTTTGCACTTAAAAGTTAATTTAGTGCCTCGCAACAATCTTTTTTTCTGCCCGATATAATTTTTCAAAAAGTCATAAATTATGGCACTTAAAAGTAATAATAAATTCAACAGATGAATGAATCGATGATCAAGTAGTTAATACTTCCAAGTCATTGCTTTATAAGTTGCAATTTTACCTGAAAAACGAGAATAAAACTTTTTCCTCAGATTCATTTTCAATTCATTTCGTCTGCAAAAAGCTCACTTCCTTCTCATATTTATTTTTCAATTTTCTTCAAAAATCATGAGCAAAATACATTCCCTAACAAATGCTCTTAAGTGAAATATAATAAATCAACAGATGCAAACAAGAAAGTGAGAGAGTACGATAGATGGAATGAAAGAAGTCTGAACCGAAGAAGGAAATTTTTTTGTGTAGTTTTTTTCATTCTTCCTTCTTCATATCTTGCTTGCTTGTACAACAAAAGCAAATGCTGAGTGTTGTGATGCAGAAACCATAAATAAGTTAAGGGGTAAAGGGAAAAAAAAGAGTCGAAGAATTTCTTCCGAGCTATGCATGATTTGAATGGTTGATTTTTGGGGATAAAACTCATACGTTTATGATACAGAGGATTTATAGATTTAAAGAATAGTCGTTTGAGCTTAATAAATCGTTTATTTTGATTTATTAACAGTTTATTCTTTAATTTTAAATTGTTTTGAATAAATTTGAACTTACAATTGCTGGTAAAAATTTCAAAAATGTGAAATCTGACACGATTTTTTAAATTTTTCATAGCCGTTAGTAATTGACATGAGTTTGAAAATTCGAATTTCAAAAATCCGGTAAAAAAGTGACCAACCAACAAAACAATCTGCAAATCGAGTTAAAATTCTTCTTCCAAATTCTTTACACTTAGCCAACACTTAACAGCCAAAGCAAATATTTGTTCAGTCCATTTTACGGTGGAAAATTTTTGTATAGCCCAGACCAAAAGCCTTGATAAAAGGAAAAGAAAAGAATATAAAAAAAGATGTAGAAGGGAAAATTTACAATTCTCATCCTTAACCTCCTTTTTTTCTTGTTCTCTTCTTTTCATTCTTTTCAGAATCATAAATCTTATATTACTTTGGATTTTATTATATATCTGCCACATATATTTTATTATATCTATACACGTCTCACTCACAGTGTATATGTGTGTGCCCAGGTCAAGTGATCACTAGAGCTTTGACAAGCACTAATAAGCAATTGAACAAACGGAAGTGGAAATAAACTCTTGAGCAAAAGATAAAGCACAACAAGCTAAAATGGATACAATTTATAGTAATAAAAAATATTTACAAAACCTCAGTGCCGCAGATTATTACAGAACAGGCACGATGCGACCGGTAAGTAATAACTCATTATGTTGTTCCAGATTTATTTTCTCATATATTTTGATAAAACGCAGTAGTTTAACGAGCATTAAATGGCTGATGATTAAGAGTCAATTAGTGTACTAATTTTCATCTAGAAAATTATTCCTTCCATTTTATTCTGGGTGGAAATCGAGGGGGGAAACAACTTGATGGGGAAAGTTTTTGATAGAAAATTTCACTATTTTCTATTAAAACATTAAATTAGAGAAAATTTTGGGAATTTCCCGTCAAAAGATTTCCCCGTCAGGTTGTTTCCCCCCTCGATGGAAGCAAGAAAGCATTACACATTCAAAAAAATTGGGAAACATCCTCCAGCTCACTAATTAAAATAATTGAGTGCTTTTTATTGTTTAAAACCATATTTAGAATCGCTGTTTGGCATGCTTTATGATTCAGCAAAGCTTTCCGCAACTGCAAACTTGTTGCATGGTTAAATCTATTCCATACATTTGCACAAATATAAATATGTACAAAATATATTGTACTACGTACGATTCTTTTTTTGTTGTTGCTGTATATCCAACATATATATCAACACTATAAGGGAGAGAAAAATGCTGTGAGCTGAAAGATGAAAAAAAAAAAAACTAGCGCAATGGTTTTTTAATTAATTTTATTTTATGGTTGCGGCATTGCGATTTGATAAGCTAAAGCGAGAAATTTTTTATTTTATGTTGCATTGTTATTTCATTCCTCCCGCTCATTCGATTCCATTTTTACACATTTGTGTGATAAAATTGTAACCATCTTACTCAGTTTTTCTGTGTTATCTTTTGGCTTAATGGCTTACAGAATTATTCTTGCTATTAAAATAAACAATTTTTTTTTGATGCTGATCCGGCGTGTTAATGAATGTGGAAGTTTATTAATATTTTAAATTTTTTTCTGGTTGGTGGTCTTAAGTTAAATTTAACTTTCAATATTACTTGCATCGCTGAGTCTTAGATTAAGTTAACAATTAGCAGTGGTTTACGAACAGTGAAATAGTATCAGAGGTCTAAATGGTTGAGCGTTCGCGAAACATGCCAAAGCTCCTGGGTTCAATCCTAGGTCAAGTAAAGTTTTAGAAGTACTTTTTGGGATTGTTTACTTATTATGTTGTGCAAAAAGAAATTACTTTTTTGACCCTCCCCCCTCCCCCCCCTCTTCCCTCTTTGTTCCAAAATTTGTATGGACTCTTTTCCTTAGTTTGAAATGTTCAAAAATCATAGACCACCCCTTCCCCCCTAAAACAGCGAACGTAATGAAGCTTGCTAGTGGTTTGACTTCAATTTGTAGTTCTATGGTCTTTGGATTTGCTATAAGATAATAAGATTGTTCAAACGAGAATCAATCTCAAGTTGACAAACTAGCAACAAAGAGTTTAATGTGGATTCTGAGTAGGACTCGAACTCATGTCATATTGCCACTAGTTCTGTCTGCTGAGCAATTGCTACTTCTCGACAATATAATAAAATTCAACTACTAATTGAGAATATCGATCTTATATCAAAATGCATCCTTAACTTCACGCCTACATTGCTCTATCAAAGGAAATAAACTCGAGAGTGCAGTTATTAAATCACAAAACAATTCACATGATTGAATCCTGCAGCCAACAAACAAAACAAACACACAAAATGCTCCCTAGCTTCCACCACCGAGAATTTCATGCTAGTTTTCATTTGTTACATGACATCGTCATCATTTCATTTCACAATGTGCAATGTGTACATACATCACCACTCTCTTATAAATTTATTTTTATTTTCGCATATGCATTGTGTGAAAATTGCATAACAATATAAATGAGTGCAATATGCGGTGATATGAGAGTTCACATTTGATGTGAATGAAAATAAAATCAGGGAAAATAAAACTTTACGGCTACCTACACACGTAGATCTATAATTGATTGTCGATTTATTTTTAATTTAATTTCATACGGTATTTTATCAGAGTAGTGAAATAATAATAATAAAATGAAATTAAATAAACAATCAATAAAGCTTGCGGTTTTTTTTTCACGACCCATATTTTCATACATGCACAGAGTCTAGACTTTTTGAAATTTCCAATTAAAGAAAAATGCCGGTGCTTAATTATTATATCGAGATATCTTCGTATTAATTTACTTACTTAAATAAAGATAGATTAACTGATGATGCCTATTATTATCGCACAATATTATTGTTATTATAAATCGGAATCAAATAAGAAAGTTGGAAATATTGTAACACTTTTTTTAGTTCTTCTCTCTTTCCATCTCCTTCCTATTTCCAGTTCATTTTTGCATCTCATTCTTAGATTAACCTCAATTAGTGTTTTTTTTTCCATTAATAGTGAATAGAAGTAGCACTTACTAGCTTTATTTTAAATTGCAAAGAAATGAGAACAAAATGTCATTGAAAGTGAATTTAGATCGCATTCGTTTTTAATCTTCTTACTCGCTTAATTACAGTCTTGACCAATTTGCTCATATAAAATGTCAGAAAAGAAATGAAGAGTGGACGAGCGACTTTTCATTTTTATTTAAACTTCGTGATTAGGTTAATTGTGGGAAACTTTTAATTTTCTTTTTTTGGCGAAATTGTTGTGGACTTGAAAAATTGAAAGACTATTAGATTCAATGGGCTGATCTCGCTTCCGTTCAGAAAGACTTGTGAATTTTTTTGAGGCGGTGTTTTAAGGCTTTGATGAATGTGTGAAATTGGAAATTAAGTGTTTGATGATTTATTTTGATATTAAGGAATCAAATTTAACTAAGGCCTAAAGGGTCATTTACTTATGATGTCCGTTAAAAACAACTTTTTGAATAATCCCTCTTCTATTCGTACCCTGTTTTATCGTTATAAACTACTACTTGTTACTAAGCTACTAGTGAGCCAAAAAAATCACTTTTTTATTCTTCTAAGCTACTAGCTTATAACGAAAAAACAGGGTGTGTCACAAATTTTGTATGGAAAAAATTCTCTTGTTTGTGCTGTCACAAAATTCTGCCCCCCTCCCCCTAATTCTCGGACGTCATAAGTGAACGACTCCTAATGTGAACAATTCAAGTTCGACAAACTTATCAAAAATCTAAGGGTGTTAAAATATGCATGTTCGAAAAATTTTAAATATCAAAAACCATCACAATTTTTATTCATTTTATTGGTTTTAGCTTTATTAAGTTCAATTATAATTGATTATGTTATATTACCATCTAAACTTTAAACATAACTTGTACATTTTAAATGTTCATTTTTTCCGAATTTTCGAAAGTTTCGAACATGTTTGCAGGGTGTGAAACTTCGAATTTTGTGTGACAGACAGACAAACAAGCACTTTTTACAACTTTTCTAGGCAACTGTAATGGTCACAATGTCTTAAATTGTTCACATCAGATTAGGACTTAGGGGAAGAAACTTCAACTGTGAAGAAAGTTAAATGACCTCTTGGAGCAAATACTAAAATTCGCTCAAATCTGTAGTACTTACAATCCTTATCCCAATTTGAAAATCACATCTCAATGTCAAAATTCTCAAAGCATGAAAAAGATCTCTCGACTCAAAAGTATCATATTCAATAAATCCAACCTTCTTTCATGTGAAAGACAGCGACCCGTACCAAAATGTTCGGGTAAATCCAATATTTAAAGAGCTGTTCATAAATGACGTCCGAGATTTTTAGACTCTCTTGCCCCTTTTTTCACAAAATTTGAATGGATTTTTTTTTCTTCTTTTTTTGAACTGTCGCAAAATCCTAAACCTCCTCCCACCACGCCAGACGTCATTAGTGAACGGAAGCTTCTTTTCAATTATTCATCATTCTATAAAAAGAAGGCATGAATAACGTGTCTAGAAAGCTATTCATTTTCTATTTAATTTGCCAATAATAAGCTTACAATAGTTCCAAGAACTGACCAAATGAAGCATAATCAAAACGAACTTGGAGGCTCAAGTAACATACAAAAGCAACACAAAGTGTATAGAAAAAATGTAATTAAACGTATTCTTAATGCCATTCACATGTTATACCAAGTAAGAAGATTTTCATAAATTGACGTTAAATGGAGAATTTTCGTTAATGAATGAGGTGGCGTCGCTTCACATTACACAAAGTAATTGCCATCAAGATATAATTTACGCATTGATAAATGCCTCGTCTCACTCAATAATGACTTATTGCTCACATTAAACGTGATAATAACGTAATTTTGAAGGATAAATAGCTCATAATATTATTAAGTTTGATACTCCATCTGTTATAGATAGATAACCACATTGTGGCAATAATCATGATTGCCACTCCATTACCTTCGTAATCTCTTCAAGCTATCCAGCTTGTTCTTTCCAATTTTTCATAAATTTCTTTCTTATTTTTTTGAATCACCGCTGAAGATTTTCACCCTACAATCAATAATCTATAAACAAGCAATCAATTATGATAAAAGAAGAGAAACATTAATTTTAAGGATACATGCAGCATGTCGTACACTCTTTTCTTTCATTCACTTTGATTGTTCACATTCTTGAATCCATCAATCTCAATCAAATTACATTTCAATTTGTACCTCGAAGTTCTTAAGCAACATGGCAAGAAAAAAAAAGTAGCTATAACAAATACAATACACTTCAACTTCCTATTTCGCTTTTATTTCATTTATAGTATTTCAAAACATCTTTTTTTCTTTGTTTAGCGTACATATGCGATGTAGCTACTTACTTATTTACCTTATGTTTACATCGTGAATGAATACCGTGATCATGCTGTGGGCTACGGAGATGGAAATTGTGTTTTTTTGGGGGGTTCGTTTAAATTTTTTAACGGGATTGGAAATTACAAATTCTGTAACGGATTTAAAAATTTCAATATTTTGTAACGGTTATAAAAATTTTAAAATTTTCTGGTTGCAAAACTTAAAAGTTTTACGACTGTTTTAAATATTTAGCGAACTTTAAAGCATTTTTGAGTCAAGTTTGGATATTAAAGCCTTGCATTTAAGTTTT